TTTTTTACTTTTTTGCCTTTTTATTAGTACATGTTTGTAGTACAAGAGGATTACACTGTTTGTAGGGAGTTGGTACATGTACATAACACATCTTAATTCTTTTTCCATCCCCTTCCCCTCCCTCCACCCTCCTTCCATTTGTTGATTCCCTTTTCATTTGAGAAAGATCTATCTCCCTGCTTCCTATTATGTATCTTTTACTTTGCTCTTTATTTATATTTTGGATTTTTCACATAAGAGAAACCATGTGATATTTAAGCCCGTGTCTGATTTATTTCATTTAACATTATGGTCTCAAGGTACAATACCTTTTTATAATTTTAAATGGTGATACATCTTTGGATGTAAAGTATCAACAAGCAGTTGAATAAAATCAAATTAGATTGAGATTCACTAGTAGAGCTAGGTAGATGCAGATAATCTGTATGTATATTGCCAAAAGCAAGATCAGATCACATTTAAAATCTTTAAAGTTTATTATGAATACAAAATAATAGTTTTGTATAAGTGATAAGAAACAATCTACTGGGAAGGACAGAAAAACTGGCTGAGAGACCTAACACAAATTAAGAGCTCACCCTATCACTGAAAGCAGGTTCCCTCAGGCAGACAACAGGTCTGCTATGATACTTCCATACTTCCTAAATGTGTGAAATTTTTAGAATTAGAATAATAAAACACTTAAGACAGCAGTTAAACCAAAACTTTAACTCACTTAAGTAAGGAGATAAACTAAGCAAGGAAACAAATTTCCTAAAGATCTTTCTATCCTGAGTATGCTAGGATCTCAAAAACCCATCAGAAACCCCTCCACTGTCTGTTCTAAAGAACAAAGAATAGTGCTGGGGAATCCCCATTCTGAAGCCTCCACAGATAAGGGGCCACAGAGTACTTTATTTATATGATAAGGACTTGTAAGTGGAAGTCACTTTTTAATAGGTCTCCACCAAATACCTCAAATAAAAGTGTTCATATTTTTAAAATATTTTCTAAAAAGGGCCTCACACACATTTGAACAACTCCCACTTATTTCTGGCATTCTCTTGGCAGGGTCAAGTATCAGCATAAGTTCTGAAGGGGCTAGGGACACCTCCTGGAGCCTCTATGGTCAAGGCACTTGTACCCATCGTCTCAGTCACCAGCCCACCAGGGAGCGGTGAGGTCTGATGAGGCTGAAGGACCGGCACAGCCCACACGCCTGCTAGAACAGATGGAGTGAGAGCCAGTTCACCAGACGGCGGAGTGTGTTCCCATCCCACAGTAGACAGTGCCTCCATTTACAGAGTGGGAAACAGGAAATAGATTCCTAAGTCATACAATTTCCACAACCTTTCTATGATGTATTTACCATCTAACTGATTATAGTCCTCAAATACTTTCCTATGTTTGTCTTAACATAGATTCCAAATTATATGGAAGATGTTTTTGACATTTTTCTTTTTCATTTTTTTTCCGATACCAGGGATCGAACTCAGGACCTTGCGCTTGTGAGGCAGGCATGGTGCCACTGAGCTACAACCCCAGCACTTGACATTTTTCTTAGTTCTAATTTTTTCTGCTGTCTTTATATAATTATGTAATATTAAAAACCCCAAAATATTGAAATTTGGTTTATATACATGATGTAAAACATTCAGTAACAAAAAAAATCATGAATGATATTAAATAGAGCAGAAATACTGCCATAATTGAAAATTCACTAAAAAATATGGCCTATGATCTATTTCATGATTTTTCACAAGAAAGCCTTGTCTAAATGCATCAAATACCCTATTACATTCACCTTTATGAGTGATATACTCCTGTCTTCCTCTTCTGAATAGATTCTGGAAGAGAGTTGTGAAGATCATAATGAATCTGCACCATTCCACACCCACCAGGAAACAGTATGCTTGCTTGATTCTTCTAATTATCTTGGAATCGATTATCTTCAGTGATAATGGTTCTTCTAGGATAAGATTCTACTTCCACAAATATGTACCGAAATTCATATTCACCATTCTTTGGATTCTCTTTCACTTCTACATGCACTATTCCTTGCTTCCCTGGCTTGGACCCTTCAATGTAGAATTTCACACGTGTGTGTTTCAAGCCCATCTTTTACATATTCAATAAAACTGACATGATGCCTTCAACCACGTCTTGTCATCTCCCTGTAGCCTTTAACAGGCTCACCAAAGAAACTGATCACCTGTAATGCTGATTCCAGTGAGTACCACTATTAAGTACGTGAAATCTTGTCCAGCTTCTTTCTTCTGAGTCATTGGGATATTGGTTTTCCCTCTCTGACCTCTGTGCACAGATACTTGCCTGCCACTGTCCTCTGCTTTCTGGGGTCGCGGTCCCTGTGTCCAGATAGTTTTCTGGGTGACTTCAAAGATAGATCCATGTTGCACCATTTTCTTCTGCTCTTGAAGCCCCCATCACAAACTGGTGTTTATGTGTCTTCTCATTTCAACAGATGCAGCCTCCTGTGCCTTTGTTGAGGCAACTTTCTGCTCCCCAAGTGGTCTTCAATTCTCAGCAAGCCACGGAGCAGCCTTTTCTCTGCTGCTCACCACTGCACCAATTCCAGGGTTCAGAGTGGTGGCTTTCTGGGTCCCTGGGCTGACCTGTTGTCTGGGCGGGGTTCTGGCTGGGGCCTGTGCACACTTGGGGTGGTATCTAGGTGTGCCTCTGGCTAGGGCCTGCCCTCCTATGTAGCTGTTCTCTGGGAGGGCCTTTGGCTGGGGCCTCTGCATCCTAGTTCCTGGTGTCTGGGCAGGCTTCTGGCTGGGGTCTGCACGCACTTACTGATGGTATTGGGGCGAGCCTCTGGCTGTTGCTTGTGCACATGTGCAACTCTTTTCAAGGTGGGCTCTTGGCTTGGGCCTGTGTGCCCAAGTGGTGGGAGTTGGGGTGGGGCCCTGGCTGGACCTGCCTGAAGCTGTGTGGCTCTGGTCCACACCACTGTTCACAGGGTTCTCTTTTCATATGTTTATTTGCTGCTTCTACTTCTTCATCTGAGAAGTGTCTTCATTTCAGATGCCCATTTTTGGACAGGGTCTTTAAATATGGGAGGTCTGATTTTTCTGAGTTTTTTATATATTCTAGATAGTAGACCTTTGTCTGAGGAACAGCTGGTAAATTTTTTTCCCACATTGTGGGTTATGAGACAGGAGGATTATCATGAAGTCATGATATCGGAGTCAGAGGCCAATCTGGGCTACATAGTGAACTCAAAGCCAGCCTGCCCTACATAGTGAGACCCTGTCTCAAAACTCTAAAAAAAAAAAAAAGACCAATTGAAAACCATGATACTTACCATATTTATGGACTTCAGTTGGTATTCCAAAATATTATCACACAGCTATACTAATATTCTACCAAATTTTCAGTAAAGAGAGAATATGAATTCACAAAGATTCTTCCAGAATGTAAAAAAATAAGGTACATTATTCAATTCCTAGAATGATAGCATAACCTTGACAATAAAACCCGATAAGGACAATCTTTAAAGAGGGAAATCATGCTACTCATCTTTTCATCACTATTAAAAATTACCCAAGTTAATCAGTTTGTAAGGAAAGGAGCAAAATGTAATAGTTTGGATCTGAAATATTCTCCAAAGGCCTCTTTGTTAAAGATTCATTTCCCAGCTTGGTGCTACTGGGAGGTGGTAGAAAATTTAAGAAGTGAGACCTACTGGGAGGTCTTTAAATCACTGAGGGTGTTGCCCTGGAAGGGAGGAGTGGGACTCCACCCCTTCCTCTCTTTTGTTTTTTGGTTCCCATAAAGTGAACAGGCTTCCTCCACAGGCCTGAAAGCAACAGGACCAATCAACCATGGACCAAAACCAGCAAAACTATGAGCCAAAATAAACCTTTTCTCCTATTAATTTGATTATTTCGGGTGTTTGTTACAGTAACAATGAAACATAATGAAAACATATATAGCTAATGAAAACATATCCCAACTAAAATATTAGCAATATTGATCTAAATTGGATCTATCCTAGGAAGTCAAGGTTGGCTTAAACATTGGAAATTTCATATAACTCATCACATTGACAGAATGAAAAATTATATGACCAATAAATGCTGAAAAAAATTTCATAGAATTCATGTTCTCTTAATGAAAAAAATCACAAAATTTGACTGTAATTGTTATGTACTACAAACATGTACTAATAAAAGTAGAAATTTTTTAAATCAGCAAACTAAGACTAGAAGAAACATTATTTAATCTCATAAAGCAAATATCAAATGTATAGAAATATTATATTTTAGGGTGAAACACAGAAAGATTTTCTTTGAAATTGAGCTATCCATTGGCTCACAGTTCCAGACTGACAAGGTACCTCAAGTCTTGGACTCTCTTGCCTCTTTCTTCTCGCTCCTACACCCCCTCCCATCAAATTGCACTCTTCACTGTGTTGCTTGTGTTGCCATTCTAAAGTTGCTACCCAAATGTGTGAAAACAACTTCATTACGTAGCCAATGACATGGCTATGGTTTATTCAGTACTCACTGTATACTCACCTACAATGGAAAATCCACTTACTGAGGAGTCACCTGGCTGATACCTGATGACCCCCACCTCCAAATGATCCAACATAGGTGCTAGGTGTGACCTAGGGCAAAGCATTCAATTGCATTGAGATTTTGGAAAGTGGGTGAGAATATTTTAGATATATGGCGTAGCTAGAGCAAAGGTCTCCACAGCAGGCAAGCAGGGTGCTCTTAACTCTAGATGTTGCACTCAGTTACCCTGGCCCATCTAATCACCTCCCAGGGTTTGAGCTCAGACCAGTGGAAGCAATTAGAAGTGAGAAAAGTGCCGGTACTTTGTGATGGGTGTAATGATGGATTCCGAGGAGAGGAAGGGCTATGTTGGGAGAGGAGCTATAGGTGAGTGACTAACAGAGTAAAAGGACAAACTTGAGGAGTCTGGCTGCGGTGACATAAACACTAATTTTGCTCCTGTCAGACAGCTAAGAAACACTATTTTTCCTCTTTCAGGTTTTCCAGGGAAATCAAGACTCCTTCACACCTGTGGTCAACTCTCTAGACTCACCGCTAATAACTCGCTACCTTAGAATTCACCCCCAGAGCTGGGCACACCAGATCGCCCTAAGGCTGGAAGTACTGGGCTGTGAGGCCCAGCAGCTCTACTGAGGGGCGCCTCGCCTTCCTCTTCAACTCCAGGACATTCCCTGACTCAAGACCATGATTCCTCTCGGGCTTCTATAGCACTACCCTGAAGCCTCCCAAATTGTTAGCCTTGTATCTCCTGAAAAGTTAGCACTCACAAAGCCACCACTTCATCTGTTGTAGAAAAATGGTATGTTGAAAGTTCCCAGAAGATATTCATGATGTAAGCATTTCAGAGTAAGCTTCATACATTTAAAATAAGATTCTGACTTGTTTATTATCCTGGTCAAGCATGGAACAAAACATGTTTTGGGATCATATCAACACACTCTTGATATCAAAAGGCAAGTCATTTTCACAATCTGCAAAATGGAGAGATAATATAAGAGCTACTATGTTGAAGTCTATTTGATTAAATTTAATATCAGAAGGATATATACATAAAGCCATTTTGTCTTAATTTTTTTTTGCTGTTTCTTTCTTTTTTTTTTTTTTTTTTGGTACCGGGGATCGAACTCGGGACCTTGCGCTTGAGAGGCAGGCGCTGGAACCACTGAGCTAAATCCCCAGCCCCTATTTTTTTTGAATTTTTAAAAAATGTTGTGTTTTTCAGTTACCTTTTTGGGTTTTGCCTTAATTCTAATCAACAAAAATAGGTTAAGAAAGTAGAATTATTGGGAACCCTGAGGTAGAATGTAAATTAATGGAAATAATAGAGTCCTAAAAAACATATTTTCAGTATTTCTATGGAAAAATAAGGGAAATCCCTGGCTGTCTAGGATAGAAGATATAAACTTTGTAATTCCAGTAGTGCACTCTCCCCCCTCCCTCTCTCTCTCTCTCTCTCTCTCTCTCCCCCAAATAACATGACAACAATGTAATGGAAAATTTTATATCATGACTAAAAAGCACTTACAGAGTTCAAATTTTAACCACTCTTCTGTAGAACTTAATGATTTTATTTTGACATTTCCCCCATTGACTATATATCTCTATTTCTGTAATGCCCTGGAAATCAGTTATTTTGCTTTCCTGCTAGTTTCTTTAGTAATGAGTTAAATAAAACACTGACATGTACAAATGCTTTTGAAAATTGTGTTTTTATTTGAGAAGTAAAAATGTGAACAATGATGGAGAGGGGCGTTTTGAGGCAGGGTCTTGCTATGTAGTTCAGGCTGGCCTTGATCTCACTATGTAGCCCAGGCTGGCCTTGACAATCCTCCTGCCTCAGCCTCCCGAGTGCTGAGATGACAGGCATACACCACCATGCCCAGAGTACAGTGATATTTTTTAAATCAGTAGAGGCACTGAGTAGCAGAATCGCACTTTAGAAAATCAAATTAGTGATTATATTTAACTGAGAGTGAAACATACTATAATTTATGAGAGGTTAAATAAAATAAGAAATGAATCCTCAATCTGGGAGAAGAGCTTATGGAAAGACTAAGAGAGAAAGGGTAGTTGCTGTCCAATGGACATAAATTTTCAGTGCACTGCATAATCTCAACAAGACCCAAACAAGACATAGTCTGGGGACCAATGTTAAATTCCAGGGATAATGAGCTGTAAAGCTCTACAGATCCAACATACCACACTGTGGGTTATTTCATCCATAACCAATAAATTTTTATTTCTTTTTATTTATTTACTTATTTATTTTTTGGTACCGGGGATCAACCTCAGGACCTTGTGCTTGTGAGGCAGGCAGCAGCACCACTGAGCTAAATCCCTGGCCCTGAATTTTTATTTCTAAAAATAAAGAAAAAATCTTCAAAGATCCTAGCAAAAGCGTAAATTATATACAAGAAAGAAAATTAAGGTGATATGGTCAATTGAATGAAAGTCTTAACCTTCACATTTTTCTGAACTATCAATTGAGATAGTCAAGAAGCAATTCCATGTACACTACAGCACCCTTAAAATAAAGGCCAGGAATTGGTGAGTTTGAATAATTCTGGAAATTGAGGTGAAGGTGAGTGCTAAACTAAGGAAAACTATTTGAGAAACTGTCTACTTAGGCAATTTGAGAAGTGGCTTAATCTTACAGTTCTAGTCAGCTCCACCCAGAAACTCTATCGGCACTTAGGGTATAAGAGGGCAGGGTGAAGGCTTTGTGAACTGGGAGTTATCTGGCATGACTCAGAGGTACCTCAGAGGGTTCCCTGGCAGGTCATGGCCAAGGACCAAGTAGGGCCAGAGTACAGCGCCTAAATTTCTTATCTCAAGGAAAGTCAGGCTCTGAGATACAAATTGTGGTCCAGTGTACCCTATGAGATCAAGCTAAAGCAGCATTTCATATAAACCCCAATTTTGTGTAGTTCCTTCCTTTCCCCTTCCCTCCCTTTCTGGTTTCTTCTGAGTGTGTTCCTTAAATAAATTATGTGTATTAGAATTCCCATCTCAAACTCGGCTTCTAGGTAACCCAAATTTAAAACTTTCAGTTATCAAGTTTTAAACACCCATGTTGATATTTACATTGGAATTTTATTAAATTAACAAGTTATTAAATGGAATGTTGGAATCTTAATGATGTGGAGTCATTCTATTAAAGACTGTAGAAGGCGGGCTCTAAAGCAGTCCCAGTGGTCTGTGACTTCCTGCTAACTGGACCTCTAACCAGTAGATTATGGCAAAACTGATGGAATGTTCTTTCTGTTTTTGTTTTTGTTTTTGTTTTTTCTGGTACTGGAGATCAAACTCAGGACCTTGGCTTGCAAGGCAGGTGCAGCACCACTGAGCTAAATCCCCAGCCCCTGATGGAATGTTCTTTCTGAGGTGAAGTAACAAAAACCCCTCTTTTTCGCTCTCTCTCTCTCTCTCTCTCTCTCTCTCTCTCTCTCTCGTCTCAGAGCTTTCACTCTTGAACAAGCCAATGTTGTGTTGTGACCTACCCTACAGAGTTGTCTCTAGCCTACATCCAATAAGAACATGAGGCCTGATTGCAGCCTCTTGAGCCAGCGCACTGAGCCAGACACACTGTGACTGTAGCCAAAGGCATTCAACTAAGCCATGCCTAACACTCCCAAATTGTGATCCAATGTCTGTTCTTTAACTTGCTAAGGTTTGAGGTAATTTGTAAAGCAGCAATAGTTTAGAAATATAGATACTGGTACCTGAACGTGGGATGCTTCCCCCCACCAAATTACTAAAATACAAGAGCTGTTCCACCGCCTGCCTCGCAAGCACAAGGTCCCAAGTTCAATCCCCGGTACCAAAACAAAAAAGCTGCTTTGGAACCTGAAAGTTGGTGAAGTCTTGGAGGACTTTGAGGAGCATGATAGAAAAAAAGCCTAACTCATCTCGAACAGACTAAGCAGAATTTCTAAACAGTTATTAAAATCTGAATTCTTGAGGACAGTCCTGGTGAGAGTTCAGAAAGAAGTGTGGAACATGTTATTGAAAAGTGGATGAAGCCAGGGGTGTGATGGCGCATGCCTGTAATCCTGGCACTCAGGAGGCTGAGGCAGGAGGATCACCATGAGTTTGAGGTCAACCTGGGCTACATAGTGAGTTCAAGTCCAGCTTGATCTACATAGCATTACCTTGTCACAAAAAAGAAAAAGAAAAAAGAAGAAGAAAGAAATGAAGGAAGGAAGAAGAAAGAAGAGGGGAAAAAAGAAAAAGAAAAAAACTGGTTGAAAAGAGATCCTTCTTGTGTAATGGCAGAAAGTTTAGCAATGCTATCACCATCAATAAAATAAAAAGTATGAAATGTGTGTAATCAACTAGCTGATCTTGCTAAGGAGATTTCCAAGTAAACTGTTGAGGGTAACTCCTAGTTTCTTCTTGTTGCTTATAGTAAAGGTCGTCTGAACAAGCTACCAACATAAATTATATAGTTTTCATGGTTCTGCATGAGTTAACTGCTCTTATATTTGCATTTAAAGCTAGCATTGTACAACATAAATATGAACAGTAAAATTCATGCTGGTTAATTCAAATTGTTAAATTTTTTCTACCTTTGGCTTAATGGTGAATAAGGAAGGACTGAAAAAAAAAAAAGAATACCTGATCACCTTCTTTTTCTTTTCTTCTATGTCACCAGTTTGAGGGTTAGCACTCAGCTCAAATAGAAAGTAACCTCTTAGGGTCACAGATGTTAATTGTTAATATTCATGTCTTATACTCCCTTTGGGTTTTACCAAATTCCCATGTTCATGGGCATTGCAAACACTATGTGGAAATAAAGTATCAAAGAATGGAAAGGGATCTGTACACAGCATTTAATTACTTTGTTCATGTGCATGCTCCATTGTCCCGTTAAACCATTAAAAAACACAACATCAAAGATAAAATGATTAAAACATTTAAGACATTGATATCAGAGCAATAAAGTAAATATAAAGTCCTTTAGAGTGCAATCACCTGAGCAACAGCCATGGGAGTGGCTGTTGGAAGTGGACCCTTCATACAGTCATGCCTTCAGATGGCTGCAGCCCCAGATGACAACCTCATCAAGGACCCCCAAGTCAGAACCCAGCACCCTAAAATTCCAGATCTACAGGAACTGTAGGGTATAATGAAAGTTTTCTTGTTTACACTTCTTGAGTTTGATGATAACTTGTCATACAGAAATAGATAACAGCAACCATATTATTTTTAGACTTGAAAAGTCAAAGCGAGCACAAAATGCTAATTGTCAGGTTATGCACATTCTCACTATTTGTTGGCTTACTTTGTGGCCACAAGGCAGTGACCAAATGTGGTGTTTAGAGTGATTAGCTTTGGAGTCCACTTGGGGATTGGTAAAGCATATTTGTAGTTGTCACTGGGTGGTTGTGTAGGTGTGACTTTGGGTACTATATTCGGTCCCCAGCCCATTTCCTGATTGACACTGTTTTCTTGTTCTTTTTTGTAGCTGCCATGAACTAAGCAGCTTTGCACTGTCATGCCTTTGTGCCATGATATTTCTGCCTTAGAGCCAGCCAACCATGGACTGGATCCCCGTAAAACATGAGCCAAATTAAACCTATCCTTCTTTAAGTTGTGAGTGTCAGGTATTGTGTCTAGCAACAAGAAAGGTGAATAGTACAGAAAATTGGTGTTTTTGCTGTGATTATATCTGATCATGGGGTTTAGAAGCCGTTGGAACTGGTTTATGGCAGGAGTTTGGAAAGATTTGGAGATGTGGGGTAGAGAAACCCTAGAACCCTGTAAGCAGAGATTGATAGGTGATTCTGGTTGGAGGTCAGAAGATTAGAATGCTAATAGGAATGAGGACAGTGAAGGCTGAGGAGGTTTTAGTTATAACAAGGTTTGCATTGGCAATTTGAGTATAGTGCACGTGTTATACTCTTGCAAAAAAAAATCTATATTTTGTTCATGTCCTGAGAATTTGCAGGAGACTGAGATTAAAGGCAGTAGATTGATCTGTCATAGGAAATTTCAATGCAGCCTAACATTCAGGCTGGGGCATGGATACTGCTGGCTGCTTTTAGCCAGATTTATGGTGAAAATTGTGGACAAAAACACAGCAGAAAAACTTGAGAAACTTAAAAGAGATGTGTTTGAATAGTAAGTTGCCAAGTGGTGGGATACAGAAGTTATGGTAGATTGTCAGCTTAACTGGCTTTAGAATCTGCCTAGAGGAATGGAGGACCACACTTGTGGGTGTTTCTGGGTGGGGCATAGAGGTATGACTTTGAGTATTATACTGTGTATTGTCCCTGGCCTGTTTCCTAGCTATTCCTCTGCTCCACTTCCTGGCTGCCATGGACTTTTCTCAGACACACCCTTCCAACATGGTGTTTCTCCCTTTGAAGCCAGCCAACCATGGGCTGAATCTCCTTAAAACATAGCTGAATTAAACCACTCCTTTTTGTTTGGTTGGGTTTTTTTGGTACCGGGGATCAAACTTAGGACTTTGACTTGAGAGGCAGGTGCGGTGCCACTGAACTACATCCCTGGCTCCCTTAAACCACTCCTTTAGGTGTCGGGTATTTTGCCTCACAAGAGAAAAATAACTAAGACACTGATAGAATCCTAAAAGATTTATAATTTTTCCTTTCCTTCCATGGAGAATTATTTTTAAATTAGTTCATAGTAATATTTTTACAGCTCCATGGCATAGCTTAGTGGTAAAGGACTTGCCTAGCATGTAGAAGGCCCTGGGTTCCATTCCCACCACTGCAAAAAAAAAAAGAGTTCTTGAAGAAGTACAGATGGCCAATAAATACATGAAAAAATGTTCAACATCACTGGCCATTAGAGAAATGCAAATTAAAACAACACTGAGAGTCTATCTTACTTCGGAAAGAATAGCTACCATCAAAATATCAAATAATAACAAATTCTGGGAAGGCTGCAAGGGAAAAGGAACCCTTCTACGTTGTTGGTGAGAATGTAAACTAGTACAACTGCCATGGAGATCAGTATAGAGATTCCTCAAAAAAATAAAAGTGGGGGTCCGGGGATTTAGCTCAGTGGTTGCGGTGCCTGCTGTGCAAGCGCAAGGTCCTGAGTTCGATCCCCGGTACCAGAAACAAACAAACAAACAAAAACAAAGAAAAGAAATTTCATTTGACCCAGCTATTCCTCTTGTACATAGCTTCTCGAAAGAGTTAAAGTCATCACATTATAGAGATATATGCATACTCATGTTTATAGCAGCACAATTCATAATAGCTAAATCTTGGAAGCAAGCTATATAATAAAGAAAGTGTCTTTATACTCATGGAGTACTACTCATAAAGAAGGATAAACTTGAGTCATTTGTAGGAAAATGGGTGCAGCTTGGGACAGTAATGTTAATAATGGTGAGACAATGATGTTAAGAGAAATAAATCAGGCACACAAGCTGAAATATCACGTGGTTTCTCTTAGATGAGAAACCCAAAATATACATAAAGAGGAAAATAAAAGATAGATCTTTTTCAAATGGGAAGAGGAATTAGATGGAGGGAGGAGGAGGGAAGGGGAAAGGGACAAAGAAAGATAATTGAAGGAAAAAGGGAAATAGAGCTTTTGCAAATTGGAAGGGGAACCAGAGTTGGAGGGAACAGGGAGGGGTGGGAGAGGAAGAGATTTAAAAAAAGAGTTAAGCTTTGTTATGCACTGTACAGACTCCTCCATGATAAATATAATCATTAGGGATTTCAAACAGGTCCTAAAACATAAAGACTTCCTTACATATTAACAGTCTTAATCTAATGTCATATATAGTGAGATTTATTACTTAGTCAGTCTTCTACCTTTTTAACATGGCATTGCTGCATGAAAGCTTCACATTTTTACATCATAAATTTATGTGTCTTTATGGCTTTGGGTTTTATTACATACTTAACATAGTTTTTCTACACCGAGATTGTAAAAATATTCACTGAAATTTTAGACCAAAATTTATATTGTTTTATTTTTTGTTAGTCCTTGATCCAAATGGAATTTTTTGACAGTGCTGGGGATCAAACCAAGGCCTCACACACACTAGACAAATGCTTTACCACTGAGCTACACCCCCAGCTCCATATAGCTTTGCTCATAGTGTAGCAAAGGGCTCTCACTTCAGTGTATCCAAATGAATGGCCACATTTTGTAAAAAAGCCAAATGAATAGCCAATCATCCTGTGATCATATTAAATAATCTTTTTCTCCCACTGATTTGAAATGCCACCTTTATCATCTATTAAACTCCATTATACACTAATTGCAAGGTGCAGCAGATACAATATAGTGAATAAAATATCATGGAATTCTTCAAGCCTAAGAGGTTAAACTACTGAAAGAATGAGTTTCAGTATCAACATAGATGTGTATGTCTGCACAGAAAAATGATGTCTGTGTTAGCTGCCAAGTAGAGGGAGACTTGGGGAGGGTCAAGTGCACTTGATGATGCCATAAAGAGAATGGTAGAATTCTATCTAGAACTCAAGAAACCTGAAGGGAAGACTGGCCAGCTTATGCTGAAGACTTCTGCCCTCTTAATAATGAGGCCCAATTCTATGGCTTCTTTGAATACCTTGGTGCTCAGTTAATTTTCAGGTAAATGGCTTCCCACCAGACCTAGGTCTCTTTAAGCCCCATCAAACAGTAAATGGATATATCAGTTAGAAATATCCTAACAGAAAGCCCAAAATATAATGGCTCAAAGAGGGGTTTCTTCTTCTTATACCAAACTGTTGCAACCAGAGTATACGCCATTTTCTCGGCCTTTTCCTCATGGACATTGCCTCATGATCACAAGATGGCCAAGCAGCTTCAGGCACTACTTCTCAAACAGTATTCAAGGCAGCACAAAGGAAAATAGCATCATCTCTTTTATCAAGGCAGCCAATGGAAAAAAAATGGAAACAAAGCTTTTGTGAATAAGGAGAGAGGTTGAAGGGAGGAGAGGGGGTTGGGGGAAAAAGAAGAATCAAGATATATCATGTACAGGTACAAATTTCCTATGATGAATGTGATCATTGTATATATCTGAAGTGTACCATTAAAATTATTTTTTTAAAGATAGCCAAAAGCCTTCCTAAAAGCTACTCATCAGATTTCTATCTCAGATCATGTTCATTAGGTGACCCCACAGTCATTCAAAGCCCTTTTCATTTACTACATCCAACTACAGAAGCTAGTTGCTGGAATGGCGAAGAAAACAACGACTGAGCTTTTCCCTAGGAAAATTCACCATTTGTTCATTTTTTCTGATGGACAAGTGGTGCGAGTGGAAACAAAGATGCACTTTGCTCTGCACGCTGTCCCTGTTCAGGATGCAGCCATATAAGCCAGTGAATGATTCTTATGCATGTGACACTTGAGAAGCTTTTGGTAATAAAAACTAAACCACCATTTTCTGATTTTTCAGATAAGGCGGCTCTGGAAAGAATTAAAGACAAAGAAAACTCCCTTTGATAGAATAAAAGCCATGGAACCCCCAAAGCTGTTTTGCATTGCATTTCGGCTGTGCTCACTGACTTGCTCCTTGTTTGAGGCAGAAGCTTCCCCTCCTTCACGTTTACCTGGCTTTGGAATGCAAGAAAAATCAGGATGGAAACCATGCTCAAGGGGTGTATATGCTGTTAGGATGAATGATCCTATCTTTGAAAAACATAAGATTCATGTCCCAGCTCAGAAAAAAACTGATTTCATGGTTTCAAATACTGCTTACAAGAAGGCTGGATATACTGGTTTGGTTCAGTTTAGTTCACCAAGCATTAACTCACTTCCTATTCACCAAACCCTTTACCACGGATGGACAGACAAAATCATAGATAACTAACCTTCAAGGGCATTTGACAAATACTCCCAGAGAACAAAGGGATAAGGTTGTTTAAAGGTGGGAATAAGGGAAGATTTGAAAAAGGATGTGAAATTTAAAATAAATCTGGTGGTCCACTCATCTACAATGTTTTTGGGGGGGGCTGTTTGTTTGTTTTTGTTGGGGTTTTTTGTTTTGTTTTGTTTTTGTACCAGGACCTTGTGCTTGCCAGGCAGGTGGTGGCATCACTGAGCTAAATCCCAGCCCCACTCATCTACAATGTAAGGCAGTGATGGCAAACATTTTAGAGACTGAGCGCCCAAACTGCAACCCCAAACCCACTTATTCATTGCAAAGTGCCCACTCTGCAATTAGCCTAAATATTGAGGTCTTAGTTTAGGAAAAACAACTGTTATCCAATGCTCAGCTGCCAGGGTGACTTGGCTCACTTGCTGAAAGAGAGGGTTGTGTGTCCGAGGTGTACCATAGGTTCGCCACCACTGACCTAGGGGCTCCCAAAGCTGTGCTTCTGCACAGGTCACTGCTGGAAAGCATTGTGCTGGCAAATAGTGAACCCTCTGAGCTACGTATGGCAGGCAATTTTCTTCTCCCCTACCTCTTTCCTGGAGGTAAAATCTTGGTACCTTCTCTTTGTGTCCCCATTTCCTAAAGAAAATACTCAACATCTGTAGCCTTAGTTTGATCAACACAGACGTCCTTCAAGTTCCTCCTCCCAGTTGCATTGCCCTCTCTTCCTTTGCTCCTAGGGCCAGTGGCCTTCTCTGTCTCTCCCTAGAACAGTGACTCTTCAGCTTCCTGAAGAACTCCCAGGTGTACTCCAGAAAACAGTGCTTCCGTTGAGATTTTCTTGTTATCAATCTTTGCTTTTCTTCCACAAAGCACTCCATAAACTTACTGCAACCATTCAGATATCTGGGGCAGAGATTATTATTCTTATTTGATTTATGAGAAGCCAAAAATGATACCTGTCTGAAGAGACCTTTTTGAAACAGTATATACCCCTTGGACATCTTAGGGGCAGCACAACAGTGAATGTCTGTGCTCTTTCTGCAGGAAACCAGATGTCCTGGCTGAGCAACTTCAGGGCTCACCTGGGTAAGCTCATCAGGAACGCCGCACCTCCAGCAGCCATGCTGGGGACTCTCTGCTGCCTCATGTAAGCTACTGTAGGACAAGGACAGTGGAGGACAGAGGGGAGGGGAGAGGTGGGGGAGCAGAAACTCCAAGGGTCCCCACCAGCCGCACGTTTGTAGTTAAGGGAGAGTTTGAAGGAAGAAGATTCTGGGAGCAAAACATCAACTCTTGATTTTCTTTCCATGTGGCTAAGGAACTACAGGTGGAAAATATGTAATTAATTGTGTTTTCAAGTACCTGAGAATTTACCATAATATTTATCTACATAAATCATATGAAGCCAAAGACATTCCTGAGAAAATCAAGATAGTCAAACCAATTTTGTCAATTTAATCAGTATTTACCCAACGATAACTACTTGCCTGTCTCTGTCTCTGTATTTTGGTTTTATGCAACAGAGTCTCACTGTGTAGTCCAGGCTGGCCTTGAAATCATGGCAGTCCTCCTCCCTCAGCCTCCCAAGTGCTTGGATTACAGGTGTGCACCACCACACCTGGCTGTCTCTGTCTTGGCTGCTAGAAAGACAGAAAAAGAATACAAATAATTACAAATTCATAGATCAGTGCTACGGTAGGAGACAGTGCCCATGTAGGGGGACTCTACAAAAGTGATCTACAAAGGTATAAGAAGAGAGGAGCTCAGAGAATAATTGGCCAGTTTGCAAGAAGAAATGGAAGGAAATAGAGAGTAGAAATTTGGGGTCTTTCAGTATTCAAAAACCCAAATCGCTTCCAAATTGTCTGATTAGAAGTCAATTAATATTTTGAGGTAAGTTTACTGCCAAAGAAACCTAACACTGTAACTAAGTGGCCTATTAGTTGTAAAGAGCGTTCAGACCTTTGACCTTCCAGGAGGACACCCACTTCAGAGGCCCCTGAAGAGGGTGTGCATTGCAACACTTGCTGCAGGTGCCTCGCAGACAGCAGACAGCAGACAGTGGGCCTGGAGCCCCTCCTAGAAAGCAGGGTCTGGGCTGCATGGGGACTCTGGCAGCAGGATTCTGGGGTTACTGCAGAGCAGTGACTTCCATGTCCTTCCCATTCTTCCTCTTCCCACATAGGAATGTTCAGTGTAGTTATCCTCTTCCTGCTCCATCATTGCTGAGGACGGCAGTGATAAGGAGCAGTAATTTGTAGTTCATAGGTCACTTACTGAAGTTGAGCCCCACCCAGATACTCTGGACTTTGCAGTGCACACAGTGCTGACTGGGATGTGCATCTGAAGGAAAGGGTGTGTCATACGGCAGACATTTGAGAAGCAGACAAGGAAACAAGAGTTTGATGCTGGGGTCTCATTAGGGATCAATGGCAGGGGGAAGAAGAGAGAAATTGGACTGCTTCACAAGTCCCACAAAGCCTTAGTTGACCCTGTCAGAGTTGTCCCACATTCACCTGAAATGATTGGAAGCCCCATAACCCCACATCAGTCAGTTATGGGACAAAGCAGCTCTCTGCAGTGAGTGCTGCTGGAGACTGCCAACAGCACCATCAGTGGCTGCAGAAACAAGTCCCTGGCAACACTGGGTGAGCAGAAAGATACAGTCTGTGACCGAGATTGGTTGTATGTTCACCAGGCCTGTTCCTTCTTCTCAAGAAAAGTGTGGAGGTGGGGGATTTAGCTCAGTGGTTTCATCCCCTCTGCTGCACAAGCGCAAGAACCCGAGTTCGATCCCCGGTACCAAAAAAAAGAAAAAAAAAAAAAAAAAGAAAAGTGTGAAAAACAAAAAAGCCATCACAGAAATGAAGAAGCACAAAGGAGAAGAGACACTGATAAAAACATAAAAGAAGATATGGAAAACAGAATACAAAATGCAGACAGTGTTAAATAGAAATAGACTTTAGTGAAAGTAAGATTAGAGGGAAAAAATGATAGATGCAGGAGACACATAATTGCTTTCTTTGAAGAAGAGATCCAAAATAATTAGACAGAAAAACACAATTAAAGTTAAAAAATGTTTAATGTTGCAGCAAGAAGGGAACACGAGTCCCTAGTCATAAAGGGCACTCAATGCTGGGCGCACAGTGGACTCTCAATAATAACCCTTGATTTTTAATTAATGCATTTTGCAATGAAGATTGCAAACAACTTCTGTGGCTCCTCCTGCACCCTGTGTACTCACCTCTGATCCACTGCCTGCAGCCGTAACAAGGGCCAGGCCAGCAGCTCACTACCCGAGGCGGTCACCAGGGGGGCCTGGCTGATCTCCCTGCACTCGGAAGTGGAGGTGATCATCAGGGTTTACTGGTAATGACAAATCTAACAGACGCAAGTACACAGAGTTTTTGTTTTTATCATTTTAAAGTATTTTTGCAGTACTGAAGATTAAGCCCAAGGATAGCCTATCACTGAACTACACTCCCCGCCCTTTCTATTTTTTTATTTTGAGAGAGGTTCTTACTGAATTGTGCAGGTGGGTCTCAAACTTGCACTTCTCCTGCCACAGCCTCCAGAGAAGCTGGAATTACAGGTCCACAGCATCATGCTCGATTGCAAAGGATTTTTTAGTACAGCTTATAATATTGAAAAAATAGAGCCAATTTAAATGTGCATCAGTCTGGTGCTGGCTGAAGCAGTGTGCCTGCATACTATGAGTACTATATAGTGCTCTCAGTACCATATACTACATCACAAAATGTTGATGTGGTGGGATAGGCCTGTGGAGATATTTACGAAATATTGTTGCATGGAAAATACAGATTATAATAGAGGATATTTAACTTCATAAATTGGTTACTTAAACAGAGGCAGCCGGGGATTTACCTGCTTCGCAAGTGCAAGGTCCTCAGTTCAATCCCCGGTACCTCAAAACAACAACAACAACAAAAAACAGAGGCAAAGCATCTCAGGGTTTAAACAAAGTATTAGACATTGACGATCTCCTTGTAATAGTAAATGGGTTGTTTTAATTATTGTTATTTTCACTTTTTTCTTGTCTGTCTGCACTTCCCAATCTTTTTGCAACAAACTGTGTTGTTTGATTAGTACATTTTAAAAGGATACTTTGAAAATGAAAGAAGAAAAACTATCTGAGCACACCTTTACCACTACCTCTAATCCCAAGTGTACAAGAAAACACTTTTAACTCCTTTTTCAAGTCATCAAAGCAGTTTTTTAAGTATGGAATAATATTTTAATGCATATTAAAAGAAGAAAGTGTCTAAAAATCCATCGTTCCCTGGAGGTATATAATAGCTCCCTGCAGAGAGTATATAGGAATGTAGACTACAGTAATTCGGATTTCACCATTTCTGTCTTCCTTTCCCAGCATTCCTGTGGGTGAACTGGTCCACTGAAGACTCAGTGGGGCAAGTGTGGTATGTGGCTTACCGGATTCCAAGACAGTGGAGAAGAATATGCTGTTTGCTTAAAATGAAGTTAAAATTAAATTGTCTTCCATCTTAAATTATCTGTCTTCATTTTTTCCTTCAAAAAATGCAACTTCAAAATGTGAATAGCCTTATTATTATTTTTATTATAAAATCAATATTTACCGCAAAATTTTGTCAGAAAATACAAAAAAAGAAAAATCTTAGCACCCAGATTTAAATGCTGTTATCATCTTATTGTATTTCCTTTCAAGCTTTTTATCTATCCCAAAGACTGTTCTTTTAAACAATAGTTCTGCCTTAATAAATGTTAAGAAACAATAAGCCTTTTTTTTTTTTTTGTACCAGGGATTGAACCCAGGACCTTGTGCTTGTAAGGCAGGCACGGTGTCACTGAGCTAAATCCCTGGCCCAACAATAACATTCTTTACTCCAGAATTCTAAGACCTCTTGATGGGCTAATATGAATCTTCACGAGAGGATAAAATAGGCAGCATTTCCCAAAATAATTTTAATACAAGATTTTTTAAAATGTAGTAAATATGTCATTTAACCACCTCCTATATAAAAAATAAAGGTGTTTCTATGTATTCACTATCATAAATGTAATGCAAGTAATGGTTTTTGTTTTGTTGTTTTTTTGAGGCAGAGTCTCACCCTGTAGTCCAGGCTGGTCTCAAAACTTTCTGTGTAGTTCAGGTTGCATTCAAACTTGCAATCCACCTATCTCAGCCTCCCAGATAACAAAAGACACAACAGACTAACCCACAGGAGTTAATGAAAAGATTATAATCAGTAAGAGTCACCATATTCACAATGAGTATCAGGGAAAAAAAACAGAGGAGAAAGATTTGAAAACCTGCCGTTTGATCAGAAGAAGTGCGTTTAATGGTGTGGCCAAGGAAGATATGGTTGTTGAGGGGATTAGCGCAATTAAAAAGAAGCCAAGTAACTTTGTAGGGGACAATAGGAAAGATGGCTTAAGCGTATTTCAGGAGTTGACCAGAACCCACCTTTGCCACTGAAGAGTATAAGGTGCAAACTCATTTGAAAGATTTCGCTTTGAGAAGAAAGCACTGGGGCACCCTGCTCACACAGGGTTACTTAAGAAATCTTTCTCCAGGATTCATTTCACCATGCTTAGCCACCTAGGCACTCAGAGGCTGCCACAGCTGTGGTCCAAGCAGGCGAGGTTACAGCTTCAACCGATGGCAAATCTTGGCATCATCCACATGATGCTGGTTTTGCAGGCATGCAAAATGCAAGAGTTAAGGGGTCTTCCACCTGGATTTCAAAGGATGGCCTGGGAGGCCAGGCAAAACTGTGTGACAGGGCTAGGGTTCCTCCCAGGAGCCAATGAGAGAGCTGTGTGTGAAGCGGTGGGAACGTCCAGTGGAATACCAAAGGTGTAGTGGAGATCCCAGGAAGGTGGAGATACTAGGAATAGGAAACATCTGCTGAGGCGAGGTGCAGGCTGTGAGCAAAGGCAACTCAAGATGGAGCCCCTGTGGGCCCATCCAACTCGGGCCACGGGGCCCAAGCCCTCTGGAACTCACCTCTCACCACCATCTGCCCCGGATGTCCCATATGGAGCTACAAAATTTAATGTCTGCTCTGCTGGGTTTCAGTCTTGCTTTGACCCAATCTGTTTCTACTCTCCTCTCTTCCTTTTGAGATGTGAATGTTCTCCCTGTGCCATT